CACACACATGCCAGACAACTACCCAGACATACACACACATGCCAGACAACTACCCAGACATACACACATGCCAGACAACTACACACACATACACACATGCACATGCCAGACAACTACACACATATAACACACACATGCACACACACACGTGTGTATCTTAAACAGAACTGCAGAGTGTAACTATTATAGTCACTAAATACCAACTGGGGACAAGAAAAATCTGAAAAGGTAGTGTCTGGACATTAGCAGATTTAGTGGCTTTTGACTTGTACAAAACTCTTTTGTTCACTATAAACATGGAGGTGGCACATGACAGAGTCCAATACTTGATGTGGACACTCTCAGTCAACCCGTTTCCTTTTCCCTGGAGCTGGGGAGGAGCCCAGGCCTTGCACTTGTTAGATGTGCGCTCTCCACCCTCTGACCCCACTTCAGTGCAGTGTTCTGCCAGTCTGTGTGGCTGGGTGAAGGAAGATATGTCGGTGCTGGGTACAGCTGTTGGAAACCTTGGAGAATGCCAACATGGTGTGTTTGACAGGCTGGTGCATGTCAGGGAGGGCAGGTTGCAGAGCCCTGGGAGCCACACTTACTGCAGTGCTTGGAGCGGGCTGGCTTCCTTAAACCACAAGTGGAGCACCTCGAGTTCTTTGGAAACATCACATCATCGAATGTATAGACTTGCAGAAGTAATGACTCGTTTGCTTTAGTGATGGTGCCTGAGAGAGAGAAGGGAGGAACATCATTTGCAAGCAGTGTGCTTGACCAGGCCACAAACCCAAACTAGCACAATGCAGCTGAAACCGCTGCGATGACTATTTTAAGAAACATACTTTCTCTTCTGTGGTGTTCATGTGTGGGGTCGATGCGTGGTGAGCATGTGTGTGCAAGTTCAAGGCCAACCTCCACGTTGTTAGACATTTTTCTTTTTTTGAGACAGATTCTCACTCCCTTTTAGAGTTCAGAAATTGGGACACACTGGTTAGCCAAAAGGCTTGAGGGTTCCTCCTGTCTCTACACCCGGTAAGGGAGCCACTGTTCCAGCCCCCACCTTTTCTCCATGTTCTGGAGATTGAAGCCGGGTCCTTGTGCTTGCATAGAAGCACTTCGCCCACACAGCAGTCCCTCCCTCACGCTGAGTAACTGACAGGAGTATTGGGTGCTAAGGCAGGAGTCCACGTCACCTCTTTTATTTCTTCAGTACCATGTGTCTGAGAACAACTATGTGGGGTCAGGTCTCTGCATCAACCGACATGTAGGTTTTAGGGGTCAAATTCAGTTGCCAGACTTGTGCCTTTACCACTGAGCCATATCACTGGCTCTGTACTTGGTTTCTTAAGACAGTTTCACACTGTAGCTCAGGCTGGCCCTGAACTTGAGGCAATTCTTCTGCCCCAGCCTCCCAAATGATTACAGATGTGAACCGATTTTTGCTTTGTTTTGTTTTGTTCTGTTTTTTCGAGACAGGGTTTCTCTGTGTAGCCCTGGCTGTCCTGGAACTCACTCTGTAGACCAGGCTGGCCTGGAACTCAGAAATCCGCCTGCCTCTGCCTCCCAAGTGCTGGGATTAAAGGCGTGCACCACCACTGCCCGGCTAGAACTTTGTCTTGTTTATTTGTAAGTTTGTCACTTGATGTGAACCGATTTAAGGTGCACTGGGCTCTGTGGCTGACAGGCACAGAGCTGTGCAGCCATCGGCCACTCCCAGTTCCTCTCTAACGCTCACAGGAACGGAGCCTCTGGCCGGGAAGTAATACAGTGGCCTAGCAGTGTCAGCAGCACTCAGTGGGCCCTCCATTCAATCCCAGCACCATTACAAGAGAGAAGGGAAAGTATCAGAAATGGAGAAATATAATCTACAACTTTGAGTGCTGACTTCCAAAATCCAGCAGAACATTTCATGGTTCATCCATATTGTAGTGTGAATCCTGGCACTTGGGTGGTAGAGGCAGATAAATTTCTGAGTTCGAGGCCAGCCTGATCTACAAAGTGAGTTCCAGAACAGCTAGGGCTACACAGAGAAACTCTGTTTTTTTTTTTTTTTTAAAAAAAAAAAAGGAGAAGGAGAAGAAGAAGAAGGAGAAGGAGAAGCAGCAGAAGCAGCAGCAGCGGCAGCAGCAGCCGGGTGGTGGTGGCGCACGCCTTTAATCCCAGCACTTGGGAGGCAGAGACAGGTGGATTTCTCTGTGTGTGTGTGTGTGTGTGTGTGTGTGTGTGTGTGTGTGTGTGTGAGAGAGAGAGAGAGAGAGAGAGAGAGAGAGAGAGAGAGAGAGAACGCACACAGGAATTACACACGCACGATCACACGTGCACTCCCAGCCTCTGGCTCCCACATGTCCATGAACACAGCACACACACAGAAAGCAGCACATAATTAAATAGAAACAAAAAGGAAACTGTGTCACAGTGCCCGAAGCTCTCCGTAGACAGATGAAATTTTGACCGGGTCAAACCTAAACAGTGCACTGAAGCCAGTGTGGTGGTGAGTGCCCGTGACCCAGCATTTTGGAGGTGGGAAGCTCCCAGGTTCATGGTCAGCCTGAGACACAGCCTGGCCTCAAAACAAACAACCTAGATTAGAAGGTCTCACACTGCTGTATATATTACAACATTTTAAATAACCCACGGATCAAAGACCAAAAATAAAATTGGAAAGCATTCAAAATTCAAAGACAGTGGAAATGTAACAGAGGGGTCTTCTGCCATCTCCTAGGGAGCAGTGCCATAACTGACATCATGAGCACAAGGCTTGCGCTGTTTCGGCTCTGGCTCCTGACTTACCAGGATTGGCAGTGCAAGTCAGGGTGAAGAACAGCAGGTTGACACTCAGCAGCAGATAGGGCAGGAGAAGGCAAGGCAGAGACAACTCCAGCTCCTGGCAGTAGCCAAAGACTTCGAAGGTGTATTCCGCATAAACCAGGCCTTGCAGGAGCAGGTGCAAGACAATGAAGGTGGGGTGGCTGCAAGAAGCACACGTGCTTATGCACCGGCTGTTCCAGGACGAGTCACATGAATCCGGGGAACATGTGGTAGCACATGCCTGTAACCCCAGTACCAAGGCAGAGGCAGGTTTGTCTTGAGTTTGACTTCAGCCTAGGCTATCCAGAAAGAACCAGGCTAGGCAGGGCTACATAGTAAGGCTCTGTCTCAGAAACAAGATAAAAGCCAGGCATGGTGCTAGACATCTTTAATCCCAGCACTCAAGAGGCAAGGGCAGACAGATCTCTGAGTTCTACATAGAAAGTTCTAGGCTAGCAAGAGCTACATCGTGAGACCCTATCAATAGTGGTGGTGGTGGCAGTGGTAGTGGTGGTGGCAGTGGAGGCTGTAGGAGTGGAGGCGGTAGGAGCAGTAGTTGTAACTGGGGCTGAGGAGATGGATCAGTGGTTAGAGCACTTGCTCTCACAGGGGACTAAGTTCAGGTCCCAGAACCCACATGGCAGTCTACAACCATCTGTCACTCTAGTCCTAAGGACCTTATGTCATCTTCTGACCTCTGTTAGCTCCCACACATGTATGGTGCTCATACACTCAGACACAAACACATACATTTTTAAAATAATAATTAAATGAAAAATGGAAGCACATTTCGAATATATTTACAGACATACAATACTTTGCTACTTTGTAAGCATCTTTACTTCAAAGCAGACATGACAGCAGTAGGCAAGCAGCTTGTGACTATGATGCCAGCACTTGGGAGGCTGGGCGAGAGGACTGTCATGAGTTGTGGCCAGTCTAGTCTATGTAGTCAGTTCCAAACCAGCCTGAGCCGTAGAATAAGACCACATCTCAACATAACAGCTGGCCATGTTGGTGTAGGAACAGACTTCAGTGGCTGAACAGAGCATGCCAGCCATGCACGGCGTCTCCAGCTCAGCCCCCAGCACCACAGCCAATCAGTAAGTGAAAAGTAAAACTAGTCCCCTTCAACACCCATAGACAATGGTAAATCACCTATAAGGAGAGATTCCAAACCCAGCACTCCCCAAACTTCCAGCATCCTCCCCTTTCCTGTGCTGGAAACCACCAGGTGCTCCCACAAGCTATAGAATGGCAACAATGAATCACCCAGGCTGAGGGTGGCCGTGTGAGAATCCTGAGCCACAAATACCGTGTGTGGAAGAGCTGGTGAAGAGACGTCTGCACGGCCCTCTGGAGGCACTGTGGGATTACACAGGAGCACACCTGAAATCACAGGAGAAGGGTCAATCTCACCTCACCCCTCACTCACACACTGAGCCTCTCCACATGCAACGGCGGAGAGTCTACCATAGTCTCTTCAAGTGGCAGAGAAGCAAGCTACGAGAATAAGGAACCGGGTAAGCTTGCTCATGTTTGCGGTGCCTGTGTGTGTGGTGCACCTGTGTCCACACATTAGCACAGGCATGTGCTCGAGTCAGACAGCTTCCCTGACAGCTCAGGCACCTGAAGCCAGAGCTCCCTGTGTGGCTAGCCTAGCCAGCCAGCCTGCACTACAGACCTCCTGTCACTGCCTCCCAAGTACTGCAGTACAGGTTGGCCACCATCCCCCCCCCCATGTTTGTGTGCTCCATTTATTCTCCTGGATTGCTTCCCTGTCATCCAGTCCTTCTGGTGGTTGCATGGCAAGCACTGTAACTGTTCAGCCGTCTCCTCGGCTCCACTCTGTGTTTGAAACAGTCTCATTACATAACCTGAGCTGGCCTGGCATTCATGACCCTCCTGTCTCAGCTTCCTAAGTGCTAGGATTTACCAGGTGTAGACAATGTCTCCATTCCTACACTGCAAAGAGTGTGTCTGTCAGCGTCTTTGGAGAAAAGGGAGTGGGCAGAGGGTGCTGTGGACCCTGCCTTTCCTTACCCTGGGTTCTACTCCATGCTCAAGGTCTGCCTCCAGATCCCCAGGTCCCTCCCAGGTCAACCTCTTCATGGCTACTTGCCCCATCTGTCTTTGATCCCCAAGGGAAGATGGATGGGACGGTGTGGAGAGGAGACAGACAGCTAGATGCTCAGCTTCCTGGTCACACCAGTCCTCCTCCCGGGTTCACACATGCTGCAAGCAAGTCTAGGCGAACACTAGTCACATCCACGCCCAAATACAGTACACACTGTTTAAAAAGCCAACCTTGACAATTCCACCTATCTCAAAGCAAAATAACAAGATAACCTTTCATCTGTCTGGACACAGGCTCTTACAGTGTAGCCCCAACAGACCTTGAAGTCTCAGCTTCCCAAGTGCCGGGATTAAAGACAAGACTCACAATACCTGGTCCGGTGAGCCTTTCGGACTAGCACCTAGCACAGTATTCAAACATCGGCAGTACCCAGGGACCAGGGCTACCTGTGCTCCTCCCAGGACCGCGGCTCTCAAACGCTGGTTTCTTGTGACGATGCAGATCATGACAACAGAAATCAATAAGAAGGCCACGTAGAGCAAGAAGAGACTCAGGAAGTCCATGCTGGAGGCTGCGAGGAAGGGACAGCATGAGGGACAGCACGAGCAGCTGCTGTTGAGGGATTTATCCCCAGCATGTATCCCGCACTGGGTTCACTCCTGCAGTTGAGAGTCACACCCGGACCAGTGGGTGGGCCTTAGGCCATCCTCAAGATGAACACTGAGGTCTGCCTTTGGGGCAACAAATCCCTTCATTAGTTTGTCTGTAGGCAGTGTGTGTACATGTCTGTGTGTGCATGTGTGTCTAGAGCTGAGCATGGACATGTTCACGTGAGTTTGAGCCAGAGGTTGAGATAGGGTATCTTCCTCAATCATGCTGCACTTTATTTTAAATTACACTGTATTTATTTGTCTCTGTGCATATGTGAGTACCACAGGAGTGTGTGTGTGTGTGTGTATGTGTGTGTGTGTGTGTGTGTGTGTGTGTTGGGGAAAACTTTTTGTAGCTGTTTCTCTCCTTCCACCATGTGAGTCCTGGGGATCAAACACAGGCTCTTCAGGCGCAGCAGATGCTCTCACCCACTGAGACGTCTCACTAGCGCTGGGGCTTGGTTATTATTTTTGCTGTTGTTTGAGATAAGGTCTCACTACATAGACCAAGCTGGCCTCAACGGAGATCCACCTTCCTCTGCATCGTAAGTGCTAGGATTAAAGGTGTGTGTGGCCATGCCCAGACCTACTTTTAGTTCTTGAGAAGTCCCTTGTGTGTGTGTTTGTCTGAGTGTGGGTATCCCTAGCATGTGTATGTGTCAGTCAGAAGACAACCTCTGGTGGTAGTCCTCACCCTCCACCTTGTCTGAGACAGGGTTTCTTGTCTGTTGTCCATGGTGTCTGCCAGGCTAGGCGGACTGTGTGTTTCTGAAGACTCTCCCATTTCACAGTGGGAAAACTGCAGTTACATAGACACAAACCTCTACATCAGCATCGGGCTTCTGCATATGTTCTGGGGATTTGAACTCTGGTCTTCACACTTGCAAGACAAATACTTCACTAAGCTAGCTCTCCATTCCAAAGTATTGGTCAAGGCAACCTCAAGTCTAGTGGGTTCCTTCCCACCCTACCCACATCAATATTGAGAACTGAACCTAGGACTTCATGTCATGTATGCTGGCCAAGCAATCTATCACAGAGCCACCACCCCAGCCCTTTACCACATCTTTTGAAACATGCTCCCTCTCTGAACCTGTAGCTCACATGCTCAGCTAGACCGGCTGGCCAGCAAGCCCAACAGAGCCTACTGTTCCCTCTTCCCCTGTGCTGGGATTATAGACCCGTACTACCATCCCACCACGCATATGACTACTTTAGTGTGTGACATTTGGTGGGGGCGGTGCTTGCAGGCGAACGTGTGCAGGCATGAGGAGGATGTCACATATTCTCCATCACAGTCCCCTAAGGCAACGGTTCTCAACCTGTGGCTCACTACCCCTTTGGAGGTCAAATGACCTTTTCACACAGGTCACCTAAAACCATCCAGAAACTCAGATGTTTACATTATGATTCGTAACAGAAGCAAAATTACACTTATGAAGTAGCAAGGAGAATAACTGTATGGTTGGAGGTCCCCACAGCATGAAGAACTGTAGTATCGGGTTCAGCATTAGGAAGGCTGAGAACCACAGCTTTGGGATCTGGAGCTCAGATCTGGAGTTCACTGTTTTGTGGCTAGGCTGACAGGCATTAAGCCACACTCAGGTTGGTACTGAGGATCCAAACTCGGGACTTCATGCTTGCACAGTAAGCACTCACCCACTGAGTGAGCTCCCAGCCCATCAACCCCTTGTTTGCTGAGACAGGGTCTGACTATGTGACTCAGGCTAGCTTGAAACTCAGAATTCTTCTGCCTCAGCTTCCCAAGTGTTGGAATTCCAGAGGTGCACCACCAGACCCAGCAACAAACCCTTTTACTTCCTTAAATTTTCACATAAATACTGATAAAGTCCTGCCAAAGAACCTGCTGGCCTTATCAGAATGGACAACTCCTAAAGGTTGTCAGGGTCCCACACCCAAACTCGGGTATATTAAACAGGTCAGTGGCCATAATGTCACCCATCACCCACGAGAACCAGAATGAAGAAATATAAAAAGCCCATGTTAAAGAACTAGAAATGCTGACATTGGCTTTACCAGGCAGGATTTTGGGCTAAAATTCCAACTCAGAGAATCAAAACAGAAACTATTAAAAAGAGTAAACAAACAAAAAAGGTCATTCTCACAAGGAAACAGATCTCCCGTCTACATATTTCTCTAGGTCGGACACTTCCAGCGGCACTTAGCGGTCATTCCCCTTTGCCACATCCACGTTGAATTCAGATAGCAGCTCTGCTTGGGCAGCGCCATGAATTTGGCATTCGCAAAACTGGCGACATGGTTGTTCCAGGAGGCTGGAACTAGCTGCGGAGACAATCAAGTGGAACGCTTACACAGTGCTGGATAAGTGTCAGTGACGGAATGCATTGTGAAGGGTGTTTGGAAGTAGGGGACGCTGCACTGCCGCTCAGCTGGGAAGAAAATGTAAAAGTCCACTAGTTTGTGGTCTACCATCCCTATAGCTGTCACTGTCACTATGCCTATCTCTGAGGCGCCCACACCGGGGTCCAGACTCAGGGTGAGGTTGCCCACATGAGGCAGGTACCCGATAGTCTCCCCTTGCTGGACACTTTCGAGATACATTATTCAAGGCCCTTGCATACTTGCGCTCACAGACTCTGCAGCTGTGAGAGACCAGGGAAGGGTAGTGGTGAATGGATCCCATCCCACAACCGGATCCCGGATGCATCAGGCTCAGAGGAGATAAGGAAGGCTCTGTAGCAAGTTGGGAGACCATAACTGCGTCCAGAACCTGGAATGAGGACCAGGCGGACAGCAGACTGGGAGAGGAAGACACAGGAAGCGGGATGCAGGGGGCTCGGAGAGGGCTGTGGTCTCACACCTAACTGGGAGGCTCAAACATGGGGTCCCGACGACGGCCGCCCAGCTGGGGAGTCACAGAGCCTCCTGCAGCTGCCTTACCCCAAGCCCAGCCAACTGTCAGCCGCTGCCAGCTGACCCCCGCCGAGCACTCCCCGAGACTTCCGGCGCGTCCGTGGCGTCATCAGTGCCCGCGATAAAGACGACTTCCGACGGAAATAGTAGCGGGAAAGCCGGAAACTACTGGGTTTGGTCTCTCGTTTTGCAAGCGAATTGTGTTTTGTTTCGTACCATCGTAGGTTTTCTTTCTCTTTTCTTTCTCTTTTACCGTCTTTCTGATTCCCTCCCTTTTCCTCTCATCTCTCTTCCTTCCTACTTTTATTATTACTTGACAGCTTACTACATACATATGTACAATGAATCTTGTCGGACTACCCTCATCTACCGATTCCCTTCATTTCACCAAACCCCCGTCCCATTTTCGTGACCTTTATTTGATTCTTGTGGGTGTGTTTGTTTGTTGTGATCCGATGAGTTTAATTCGGATTTCTTGTATGTGCATGGATAGAAAAGCTAATATATTTTTTAAAATTTCTTTCCAAAACTAAGATCTCGGCTAGGGATAGTGGCCCATGACTGTAATCGCGGCACTGAGGAGGCAGAGGCAGGTCTCTTTGAGTCAGAGTTTATAAGAGTTCCGGGCCAAGCAGGGCTACGTAGCTAGACCTTTTTTAAAACAAAACAAAATTAAAGTCCCACCAAATTATACCAAAACAAAATTAAAGTCCCACCAAATTATACCCGGGTGGCCTTGGGCTTTTGAACCTCCTGTCTCAGCCTAACTTTGTTTTGAATGGCAGGCACACACAACCACAGCCAACACAGAAACTGGAATTTTCTAGCACTTTTGATAGAAAGTGAAGGCTGTCTTGGGTCGGTGCGGGAGAACCACTGGACTGTGCCGGGCCTTTCTGTGTCCTAGAAGGAACTCGGCAGTGGCCCTGACAACCCAGCAGGTACCCTAGACAGTGGCACCTGTGTCTTCCTGACACCACTGGGACCCGTCCCAACAGTCCCAGCATCTTCCACTGCAGGAATCACAATGTGTCCCCATCTGAGTCAGATTCTGCTGATTTCATGCCCCTTGCTCCTGCTATCTCTGTGTACAGCTTTGAACATCCTCCCTGTGGGGAGCGGTGGCTAGTGTTTTATCCTTGAGGATAAAAAGGCTGTTGTCATGATAGGCAGGCCTGGGGTGAGAGGAGCTGCTTCTAAACATAGCACTGAGACGGTCCCTGTGGGGTGATGCTTTGTCTGAGTGCCCCCAGGTCCTCTAAGAACTATTCTTGACGCCTCTGAAAAACAGGTTCCCTTTGAGGAAAAAATGTTTCATCTCTAACCACAAGCCTCAAAGCTCCCTTTTCCTGTTTGCTTTACTTCCTACCCCAGCTTCTCAATATTTTTTCCTTTTAGAAAAAAAAAAACCAACCACCTTTCTGAATATATTGTATTCAAGGCCTTTACAGTGTTGGGAACACAGAATGAGCAGGTGTGACCTGAAAGACTGGTACATACAGAGACCCATCTGGCATCCAGAGTAGGCTACACTTCATCAAGGTCTCCAGCAGGTGTCACCTTACTGGTGAACACAGCCTGCAATTAAATATCTTGAATTTTCTTTCTTTTCTCCCATGTAAATGTGGGGCTTTGTGGTCTTTTTTGTTTTGTTTTGTTTTTGTTTTTCGAGACAGGGTTTCTCTGTGTAGCCCTGGCTGTCCTGGAACTCACTCGGTAGACCAGGTTGGCCTCAAACTCTCAAACTCAGAAATCTGCCTGCCTCTGCCTCCCAAGTGCTGGGATTAAAGGCGTGTGCCACCACTGCCCAGCCCCTTTCATATTTTTCTTCGTGGGAGAGTCAATGTCTCATTATGTACCCCAGGCTGGCCCTAAACTCACAGTTCTCTTGAATTGGCTTCATGAGTGCTGGGATTATAGGGCTGGTCAAAATTCATTTTGTTTTTATGAATACATATTCATTCAATAAACACATATTGACTAATAGGTACCAGCTGCTTTTCTAGGTCAAGGGGACATATGAGTCAAACAGAAGTTGCAGAAACTGTGACTGGGGCTATAGACCCTGGATTTCATCTCAGGGATCACATGAAACCTAGAATGGTGGCACATGCCTATAATGTTGTTTCTGGGGAGGTGAAGGCAGAAGGAGAATAAGTTTAAAGTCATCCTCAGTTACACGAGTTCAAAGCCACCTTAGGTTACATGAGACCCTGCATTCAATGTGTAGGCCACAGATTGGACACACCTATCTCTGTAGACAGTTTCAGCCAGGAGTGATTGTACACACCCTTAATACCAGCACTCTGGAGGGAGGCAGAGGCAGATGGATGTCTGTAAGTTAGAGGCCAGCCTAGTGTATATAGTGAGTTCCAGAATAGCCAGACCATACAGTGAGAGATTCAGTCTGGAAAAACAAAACAAAAACATTCTTACTGTAAGACACTGTGTTTTATCCTACTTTGTAATTCTTTTTTTTTTTTTTTTTTTTTTTTTTTTTGGGGATGACAATTCAAGAAAGTTTCTCTGTGTAGTCCTGTTCTGGAGCTCACCCTGTAGACCAGGCTGGCCTCAAATTTACAGAGATCTGCCTGCCTCTGCCTCCTGAGTGCTAGGATGTGCCAGCACTGTCTGGCTACTTTGTAATGTTACAGATAGTTTTTCAATGATGTATTCATAGCTTAAAACATTACACAGAACTTGACCTAGTAGTACAGTCCTATAATTCCAGGGAGGGAAGAGCGGAGGCTCATGAGGTTGGGGAAGAGAATCATGAGTTTGAAGCCAGCCTAGACGCTTGGACACACTCCTGTAACCCCAGCACTCAGGAGGTTGATGTAGGGGGATCGAGAGGCCAAGGAGAACCCTGGTCAGATATGACAGAACCCTGTCTCCACAGTAAAAGTTATGGGTAAATTTCTCAGTGCTTTGCTGGATTTTGAAAACAAATGCTTCTCAAATTTTTCTTTTTCCTTTCTGCCTCTCAGAACATTCAGTCACAAATACTGGAATCTGTTTTATAAGACAATAGAAAAAATACTATAGCCAAAACATAAGGATTTTACTCAAGCCTTCTAGAAAGGATTGTGCTGTCTTCGACGCATAGAGCAAAGGATTCTTCTTAGACTTCCTGTCAACCCCTGAAACTGGACCTGTGATGTCAAGTTAGTTTTGTTGTTGTTTGTTTGTTTGTTTTAACCTGCCCAGAGATCAGTTGACTGGATCAACCACCTTTTACACCATGAGCCCTTATTCCTGGAGGACTGGCTGAGACAATATGAAAATGCAGACTTCCTAGCTGGGCTGAGGGAGCTGGCTCAGACGTAAAGTACCTGACATGATACAAAGATCCACTTTAAAAAAAAAAAATCAAACAGCCGGGCGGTGGTGGCGCACGCCTTTAATCCCAGCACTTGGGAGGCAGAGGCAGGCGGACTTCTGAGTTCGAGGCTAGCCTGGTCTACAGAGTGAGTTCCAGGACAGCCGGGGCTGCACAGAGAAACCCTGTCTCAAAAAACCAAAAAAAAAAAAAAAATCAAACATAGCTAAGCATAACGGCAAATGACTTTATTTCCAGCACTCAGGAGGCAGAGGCAGGTGGATCTCTGTGAGTTCAAGGCCAGCCTGGACTACAGAGTGAGTTCCAGAACAGCCAGGGCTACACAGAGAAACCCTGTTTCAGGGGAAAAACAAAACAAACCAGGAATGGTGGCATGTGCCAGTGACCCAGTGCTGGAAGGTCAGAATCTGGAAGATCAAAGGGCCTGGCTGACAGCAGGTCTAGGTTGACGCATTCACTCCATGTTCCGATGAGATTTTTTTTTTTTAAAGTGGAGATTGGCATCATAGCTCAAGGGTTAAGAGAACTTGTTTTTCAACCTTGAGGTCCAGAATTTATCTCTCAGTATTCCTACACCAAAGCAAAACTGGAACCCTGTAGACTTTCAACCCCAGCCTTGAGTAGGTGGAGGCAGGAGGATCACTGGGGCTTGCTGGCTGTCAGCCTATCTGGAAAAACCAAGAGTTCTGAGTTTGGCAAGAGACACTGCATCAAAGGAATAGCTGCAAAGTGATAGAGAATGACACTGCCCCCCTCCAGTCTCTAAGCGTGCCCAGGTGCATAAGCGTGCCCAGGTGCACGGGCCCCGTTACACACGCACATGTGCAACACATACACGTAAGTAATCTTAAACTATAAAGGCAAGGTGGGGGTCTCCTAAGGAATGACCTCTGACCTCTACACCCATGCTCACAAGCACACAGGCAGGCACATAAAGATTCCATAGTTGTTCATGCAGGAGACATGTATGGGTCACGGAAATTTTCCCATGGAAAAACAGACTGGGGGGGGGAGGAATATGATAGAAGTGCTTTTCTTTGTGGGTAAAACCTGGCTTGTTTTAGTCGTGATATTAGTAGTGACTATTTTAGATTTCTGAACTCATAGTAGATGTTCAATAAAAATGGGCTAGGTGAATGGGGAGGGGAGAGTCATACCTGATGGAAATCTATACTGAAGGAAACATTCAAACAGGCCTGCTAGGTAGCTCAGAAGTTAGGGTGCTGGTTGCCCTGACAACCCAAATTTCATCTCCAGGACCTGCATAATCATGGAGAAGAATTGATTTCCACAAGTTATTTTGTCACACAGAGAGAGAGAGAGAGAGAGAGAGAGAGAGAGAGAGAGAGAGAGAGACAGAGACAGAGAGAGACAGAGAGAGAGAGAGAGACAGAGAGAGGCAGAGAGAGACAGAGAGAGAGAGACAGAGACAGAGACAGAAACAGAGAGACAGAACTATCCGAGCACCTGGCCAGTAGGTGGCGCCACAGCATGTCGCCTGTATCAGCCTGCGGGCGTCCCAGTCACCCTTTGGAATTTATGCTTCTGCGATGGCTGCACTGTGCTCAGGACCCTCAAATCTCCATTTTGGAACTCATTCTGGACCGTTCCTAAACTGTGTGGTTCTCTATGTCGAGACTGCTTCTGCGTAGCCGTGACCTGCTGTGACCTGCTGGAGATGACGTAAGCACGGGAGGATTGGTTCAAGGTT